ATTTATATGACGTGTTTTACTGCTTGTTGTTATCCGTGTTTTAAAGAAGTTTCAAGCGAATGTAATATACAATGATTTACTGAAAGTTGGCATTACTGTTTTTGACAAAAAGACATGTAATTAGTACCCTGGCTCTAGAGGTTCATTTTAGAATGATCTAAAAATGCAAAATCAATGAACCTTGTGTCAAGTACAAAAAAGAAAGTCAGTCAACAAGCACCCAAGGTTTTCGATTTAGGATGAGTGGGGTGGGCTTGTTTCCCTGATGGATTGCTGCTTTGGTGTTGTGAGGGTGCTTGAATGTCTGAGTGACCCCTAGAGCTACAGACTGGATACCAAGGGGCGTCCTGGTAGGGCCACCCTAGACGGACAGGTCAACGCTTTTAAAAATGCAATATACTGGTCCTCCAGGATGGGGTGGGGGAGGGGGGGGGGGTTACAGGGCCAACAACCCTATCCTATAAAAAGTCGAACGTTACAGAAACTGAACAGCCTTATTCGCCTTCTGGCGTGGTTGGACGATGGTTGGACGATGATGATGATGATCGATATCATCATCATGATCAGTAGAGCGGTTTTCATTTGAGTGTCGAAAAGTAATTGGTTTTGCACTTTCTACACGATGCGATTGGCTTAAAAGATTCGCGCCACCTTTTCATCCAATCAGAAGTAAAACCAAAGCCAATTGTGTCGCGCTCGCATGCATTTTCCCGCGCTTTGCGTCAGCCACATGTAATTACTTCGAGTTTTGATTGGTTCAATGTATTGTCTGTGTCCTATGTGATTGGCCAGAGTAATTACTTTGGTTTTGGTTTTACGACACTCAAACGAAAACCACTCTATCATCATCATGATCGTTATCATCATCATCATCATCATCATCATCATGACCATCATCTGAGAGTTGGACAGGTGCACCTTGGTTTCTCAAGCAATGAATACTTGTTTTTGGCCCTAGCAATTTACCCTAATACCCTGTCAACAACGGACTTAGATTTTGCAGACTAAAATTTATAAAAGCAGTTTTTCGTCCTTAAGAAATAAACAAAAAATTTCGATTGTTCAGTGCATGGAATGTTACTAATAAGAGAACTAACACCATCTCTTAATGTCCAGTTGGACTCAATTGGAGCCAAATTTTGTGCGTGACATTCCACAATTAGTATGTAATTCTTCAGCGAACTATTTCATAATCTCACAGTTTATTCCAATCATTTTGAACTTGATAATGGTGTCATGACAACTCCGAAACGTCCTTCTTTTTTAGCGTTGTCTTCTTGTAAAATTTATAAAGGTTTGGGTGCAGACCACTCATGATCCGGGTTCCAGGCCCCAAGCTGTATTGTTGTCAATTTTAACCTTAAGAATCTGAGCATGCACAGTGTGTTCTCCACGACTTCCTACCAAAGCAATGAACCTTAATACCCTGATAACAATGGGTATAGTTTTATGAAGTCCTTAATTTAAGAGGTGCTGATCACCCGTGATCACGATTTCAGGCCGCGAGCTGTATTTTAGTCAATTTTAACTCTTAAAATCTGAGCTTGTACAGTGTGTCCTCCACGACATCCTACGTAAGCAATACGCCTTAATACCCTGATAACAATGGGTGTAGTCTTATAAAGCCTTAAGGAGGTGCAGATCATTTATGATCCGGGTTCCAGGCCCCAAGCTGTATTTAAGTTTATCTGAGCATGTACAGTGTGTTCTCCACGACTTCCTACCCAAGTAATGAACCTTAATACCCTGATAACAGTGGATGTAGTTTTATAAAGCCCTTAATTTAAGAGGTGCTGACCACCCTTGATCATGTTTTCAGGCCGCGAGCTGTATTTTAGTCAATTTTAACTCTTAAAATCTGAGCATGTGCAGTGTGTCCTCCATGATGTCTTACCCAAGTAACGGTTGAGAGGGCATGCTACGTAATCAGGACAAGATGGTGAAAAATCAAAAGTTTGTATGAGAATACGAAGTCATTTAATTCTTGCTAATTGAATACATCTGTCACTTTTCTTTGAAAAATGTAACCAATGAGCTTAAAGAAACTGCACCTTTCTTGCTGTCCTTTGTTGCTTTTTGGAAAACTTGAGTTCTTCCATACATTTTCTGTAATCAGACAACACAAAAATTACAGAAAATGTATAGAAGACATCAAATTTTCTAAAAAGCGCCAAAGGCCTGCTGTGCACTCCATATTTAGTGTACAGTTTCTTTAAATTCATTAGCTAAAGTTTGCAAAGAAAAAGTGACGCATATATTCAATTAGGAAGAATTAGTTGACTTTGAATTCCGATACAAACTTTTGAATTCCTCGTCATCTTGTCCTGATTACCCAGCATGCCCTCACAACCGTAAAGGGGTCTACACTCTGATAACAATGGGTTTGGTTTTTCTAAAGGCCTTAAGGAATGGAAGACCTCATGATTACCAGGGTTCCAGGCTGCAAGCTGTTTTGGAACAAATCAATCCTAAAAATATCAGCATAACCGTTTGCTCTCCACGCAGTCCTCCGTACATTTTCTATACCATTGATGTGGAGCATTTGCATAATACTCATGATCATTGTAACTTGATCATCAGTTCCTTTATTCTCATATCGTGTTTTCGTTTCTATTTTAATGAAACTAAAACCGTAGAACCCGCTATCACGTTACGCTTTACCTTACTCGCTTTGTTTTTTCCGGTTATCAGGTGTTTTCCGTGTTATTGACATGACTCGATTGTGCTGCTTATTATGTTATATCGATATAGTAAGCGTTTAAGAAATAATAAAAAATAAATGGTCTTCTCTTCCCTCGTAAAAATGGTGGCGCAATACACTCCGTCTTCCAGTAACGGCCTCTTACCTTTTCCCCCAAAGTAACAGTGGAAAGGCCCAACCAAGCCTGGTAACTGGTGTTTTGTCTGCGAGCGAGCGCGCGCGCGATTGAGGCGCGAAGCCAGGAGAGGAATGAGAAAAAGCAATAAGAAGTAGCGGACTGGGCACTAGTTACTGTTTAATTGGCAAGTAGAAATCTCCATGGAACTTGAAGTTCTTCAAAGCATTCTGAGGATTGTTTTTAACAGTGCCCTTGCCAGACGGTTGTGTTTTACATTACAATGTGATAAACGTTCTTTTATGACGAAGAAATTACTTGTTGTCTTAGGTTAAAAACTTTAAAATCTTTCCATCTCGCGAAATTGAAATTAATTGGAGACAATATACAATTCAATTTTTTTTTGAAAAGGTATAAAATAGAATAAAAAGTAAATTAGAATAAATTTTCATTTCTTCCAATATCTCCGCTTCATGTAAACCTCAGACATGTATTTTCTGACTAAATATCAGTCTTGGCCGGCTTTGACTACCTTTAGTGTGCTTGATGAAGGGGTAAAACGTCGATTATTTGTTTTTTTGATCCTGCGCCTCGTAAATTTAAAATAGAACAAAAACAACAGCCCAAGTTGATCTAGACATCGTTAATACTTGTTCCGCCAAGTTATTCTAAAATCGTAATTGATTAAACGGTTTACATTTAAGCCAGCAACATTGTATAGAAAGCCTAAGGGGCCATCTTTAGTGTGCTTGTTTATCTGGGAAGTCCTAATTCATTGTATAAAATTTGATTTTCTCTTTGCAGTTTAGGCACAACCTTTTTCTGCCCGTTAACACTGTAGAATGAATCCAATGTTGTGCTTTATTTTTCGTGATTTGTGATATTTTGGTGACCCACAATAGTTTGTTATGGTCATCCTTCAATCTAAGTCGAGAACGAATTAGGATAAGACACCCAACTGGCAGGAGACAAGATTATGATGTCGAACGAGGAAGAGCGCAAGTTGAAATTCATTTCAATACAGCTTATTGTTAAAAAAAAGCTCTACTTAAGCTCAGTTTCGATTTACATCAGTCTCGAAGTAAATCAGAATAATTTTGTTTCCCGGCCCCACCGTGAGGAAAAATGTTTGACATCGTACAAATGTAATATTAATAAAGAACCACCAAAATATAAGCAAAATAATTATATATTTCAAGTTTACCTGTGTTAATTATGAGCAAGATTTATTATTTTGGAGGAGGGAGGAAAATGTGAATAAATTTATCAAACTTATCGTTAGGCGACCATTGTTATGCTCAGGGTTTAGAAACAATCAATTTAAGTGCTTTCTTCACATATGCGTCGCCTAACAGGAATTAGTGCTTAAATTGTTCAAATATATTTAGACAGTTTTCGTTTCTTCATTTATTTTTCTAGTATTTATTTGCTCAGAATCGAGCGTGTGAAATGCTGGTAATATTATGCTACAGAAACTGGAGTATAAACCATGATCTTAAAAAGCTCATGCTTGAAAACTATAATTTGTATTAAAATGCTTATTACGTTTTTGTATTGAACTGTCAGAGTATAAATATTCAAATCGATCGTTTAAAAAAGAAAGTCGTTAAATATCTGCAACGGATTTGAATAGAATCTGATGTCTGGAAAAATTGTTTGATGTTTCTAAATCAGAGGGAATATTTGTATTTGAACGAAAGTTAAGCACCTTGCTGAGAATTAAATTTTGGGAAAATTAGAGACTATGCAAGGACATTGATAGCAGGAAAGTGGTTTGGTCGTTTATCATCGCCAACAATCAATTTCTGGAGATTTCAAATCGATAACAATGGAAAGGTCTATATGACGCAGATCATTTCCACTTCTTTCAGCTGTCTCTAATCTATTGGCCGTCAATCATTTTCAAGTACAGGCGGAAAGAAATTTAAAATATTCCATTGAATCGGATCAAAAATAGCATTAACCGTGAAATGTGGTTGGATATTTTTCGGGCTCATGCAAATTTTTGTGAGTTAAAGTCAAAAGACAGCTGTTGATGTTGTTAGCTGCCCATAAGCGGAAACTTCTGAAACTTCCCAAATCTGCCTTAAACTGCCGCGCATTGAGGATTCACCCCGACAAATTTTCTGTTTCAAGCGCTTGGCGATTCATGTTCATGTGAAATAACGGTTAAGCTGATTAAGGATGACCGAGAAAGAAAGGCTTTTGCCAGCCGGCAAAGAAACCGGAGAAAACTCTGGAAACTTATTTCATCCCGAAGAAGGCGCCGTGCCGTCACAGCCGTTGTCAAGCGAGCAAGCAGACAAGCGCGGATCATCTCGGCCTTGGTACGACACAGTCCACTCGATGCTTGCCATCAATAGAAACCTTCTTCTATACAAAGCGTTTTATTTCTTCTATTTTGCGGCGCATGGAAGTCTCCTTCCGTACTTATCGCTGTATTTCAAACATTCTGTACTGCTGCCCGCTAAAATGGCGGGCATTCTCTCGGCTGTGAGGCCATTTTGTTTGTTTGTAAGCGCCCCTATTCTGGGAACAATCGCGGACAAATTTAACAAGATCAGAACAGTCTTGCTTGTGGCGCTTTGCAGTTACATTATATACAACCTTCTCATAGCAGTTGTGCCTCCAGTGAGTGTGGAATGCCTCAGTAAAGTGCACGTAATACTGAACATTACGCACAACCACAGCCTCCCTCGAGCGGTCCATCACCACGATGGCAGTGCGCGATTTGAGCAGGAGGAAGCGGGCTATTGGAACTTTGGGCAGATGGAGGAGATGTGGAACGAAACTTGGCTTTTTGACCTTTATACGAAAACTGATCCAGCGACTTTTAAAAAGGCTGAGAGTGTTTTTATAGTCATCCTGGTCATTACAATAGTCGGTGAATTCCTTGGAGCCATTTCTAACACTCTGGCCGATGTAGCTACCTTTCAAAACCTGGAAAACCAACCCAATTCCTACGGAATTCAGCGTTTATGGGGATCGATAGGATATGGGATCAGCGCTTTCATCACCGGTGAAATAGTGGAGAGGCAATATATTAAACAGACCGATATTTGTCCCAAAGTGGTTTCCGATATCTACCGCCCCTTCTTCTTCGTCTATTGCGTCCTAATGGCCGTTGCTCTGAGTCTGGCGACCCGCTTCAATTTTCTGAACGGGGATAAGCACGTCAGTGAAAATATTACACTGATCAGGGGTCTTAAAATTTTCTTCAAAGTCGAGTACGCAGTGTTTGGTGCCATTGCGCTTTTCTTGGGAATTGCCAAGGGTTCTGCTGAAACGTTCCTGTTCATGCACCTAGTGGAACTTGGCGCCCACTCTCCATTTTTGTTCAGTTGGCTGTTTGCCATTCAGTGCATTTCCAACGTTACACTCTATTATGCCTCTGTGTACTTTCTGGAAAAGGTTGGCCACGTGAAAATGCTCATAGCAGGTCTGTTGGTGTACGCGTTGCGATTTTACTTCTTCTCCGTCATAGAAGATCCTTGGCTCGTCTTGCCAGTCGAAGTACTCGTGGGGATTTCCTCCGCGTCAGTGTGGTGTGCGCTGGCCTCCTATGTTGCCACGCCACCCCGCCTTGGTGCTACTCTTCAGGGTATTTTACATGGCTTGTATTACGGTCTGGGTAGTGGGCTTGGACAACTCATAGGCGGTACTTTGGTTTACAGTTATGGCACTGCTCCCTACTTCCGTTACTGTGCCCTTGTTGTCTTGTTGATAACGATTCCGTTCGCGTTGGCGAGCCCATTTTTGTCTTCTCGTCTCACCATTTGGATGTCTCTATCTGGCTACTCTCAGCTGAAACCAAAGCAAGACCAGACATGCTGTCCAAGATTGTACAAACTGCTTGGTGTACGCGAACAGAAGTCTACCAACGAATAAGAGTAAAATGACTTTTCTCCTAGTCTGCGAGCAAGCTCTCCGGGGCGCCCCGCCCTGAGTTTAAGCAAAAGATTGATCAGAGAAATTTATTTATGTATATTATTTTTTTGGAGCTTAACAGTTTAATATATACATTCAATTTCGTTAAAACGTTTATCTCGCTGAAGTGGAAGATGCATTTAATTTTTATTTGGGAAAAACTGGGGAACCGCAACCTTATTCCAATTTATTTGGGGTTTTAGAGTATTGTTTCCTTTAATTTCATTAAGAGGAGGTGTTCTACGTCTCCAGCAGATCTTATTAATATCACAGTCAAAAAGTGACAAAAAATAATTATAACTTAATTTTAATGAATAATTTTATTTTCATTTCACATTTTTACGATAAATAAATTTGTTTTTATTGCCCAAAAAAGGGTAAGAATTTACAAAAAAATTGAAAACGTTTTATAGATCCAAACTGAACTACGACGAATTTTGACAAGCGGTTGTGGTAGTTGCAGCCCTTATTGAGTCTGACTTCCACTTGATTCGACGAAGAAAATACTATCATTATTTTTATTATCAAGAAAAAAATAACATGCTTGGCCTCATAACCGCCTTCCATTATCAATAATAAAGGTAGATATTCTAGAAAAGGGAGCATCCGTCGAAACTTTTAAGTCGATAAATATATTCGTTTCAGCACTTTCTACCAGTGTAACAATACTTAAACCTTCGTTAATTCCGCGATTTGATCCGTTTTAAAGTATTACAATTAAAAATAATTAATAAGAAAAATCGGGGAGTTTTTTTTTTTAACTTGCCTGCCTTATTTTGTGTTTTAAACCGCCAATTTAATGATTAGGTGTAGAGTTTGGAGTCGTGTTTTGACGTGGCGAATAGTGTCGCTATTCATATAACAACGGGTCAAATAAGGTGAAGTATATTTATTTATTTCTATTATCGGCATTCATTTCATTCAAAGCATGCAAAAATCTTCAAATCATAGACGACAGGACTTACTCTTTCATCATTAAATTAAGGATATAGTGGAATTACATTACGAAAGAAAACTGAGCGTGCTGTACTGTCCTGTATGTAACTTAGAGTGAACGATGAAGTATCGTAAGGTTTTGCCAACATCTGAGGCTGTGGGCCAAATCCTTTAATGTGACCATTTAAATGAAACTTCCCTGGCATTATTTTTACGTGGACTACCGTTGAACTTCTCCACAAAAGCCACCTTGGAGACAGAAGAAAGAGGCCTTTGTAGAGAGGTTTAAATGAGAGTCAATGTATGGACTGTCCGCCAAAAAAGTGGCCGTCGTAGGGAGGTGGCCATTGTGGGGAGGTGGCCGTTAGGAGAGGTTCGACTGTCTTTGTTTTTCAGAATTTTATAAACCGAGATTTGAAAATTTCGTTGGATCCTGGCTTGAACCTCTTACGGTTGAGAGTTGAGACGTTTTGAGTTAGTAGACCGCAGGGAAAATTTCCACTTATCAGGAACAACGGTAGTGTCAAATCATCAAAGTGAATATTGTGTACTTCATCGCTAATACAATATCACAACTCATTTAAATAAATATTGTTAAGCTTGGTCGCGAAATAAGAATGGCTCGAAGATATTGTCGCTTGGAGAGTAAATTGACCACGGCGTCTGTGATAAACAAGTCTGTGAGGGTCTTCCTAATTTTAGTTTTTTACTGTAAACATGTGTTTCACTTTGCCAACCGACTCGTAATTTAATTATGCAGCTCGTAAAATTAACAAATAACAACAAATTTTCCGTGTGTCGTATTCTTTTCGTGACGTGTGGTTTCTCGTGGTGAAAGTAAATGCCCCGTTCACTCCTATCCGTATTTATTTAAAAGGCGGAATCCTTTGATGGATTGGCCTTCCGTGATCACCTGTCGTTTCTGTCTATCTGTTTTCGTCGCCAAAAAAAAAACTTTTTAAAAAGTCTTACCAGATTTGAGATGCTGTAAAGCGCCATTTTCCCCGTACATCTTGAAGACGGATAAAAATCAAAATTTTCGAATCGAAAAAAACGATGACGTCACGCTATTTGACCGCGCACCCGGTAGAATGTTTAGCTTTCACTGTCACATTGCCATTTTTTCTCTGAAAAGAATTTTTTTCTTTAATTCGAGTTGTAAAGTGTTGAAATTTGATATTTCAGCATACAAATTAATCAGTGGGTCTTCATTTATCACCGGTCTCAGTAGAAAATCACGGCGTGTAAGAACTGACAACAGAAAGGAAAATATTGTACAAAGAAATTAAATATTGTAAATGGAACATATAAATTGTAAATAAAAAAACTGTCAATAATTCGGTGTTATGGAAAAGTCAGTAAAGGTATTAGTCTCCTTAGTAAGTGGACGTTATTATTATTATTATTATTATTATTATTATTATTATTAATTTTTTTTTATACATAAAAAAATAATAATTTTCTTCAACTTTAAAAATATGTACATAATTTACGGAAGTAAGAATTAAGCACTATACAACATTAAGAATTATACAAATCATAAAAATACAATCACTGTGTCAATAACGATTTCCCAGATACATTCCTTGCGGCTCAGATGTGATCCATTACTCTTGCAGGCAGTCCAGTGTTTGAAATTGAGTCTAGACTGCAAAACAGTCCGTATTTTTGCGTATTCAAGTACACACGAGCAGTCAAACAAAAGGCCTGGAACAAGGCGTGGCGTGGTGTAAGACTCTTACGCCACAATTTACCGATTTCTTTACTGATTTTAAGAAAAAAACTGACTGTTTCATTCCGGGATGCAAATAAAACTCATTTTCACAAGAAAGTTTTGAAAGTATCCTTGCTTTTTTGTGTGAGAGTTTTTGCAATTGCTAGTCAACCGGAAGAATTCCCTTGGATTGGGTTGCCGCCAGTAACTAAGGTTGACACGGGTCTTGCCACCTCTCAATCTCAAGAACTGTCCAGAGAATGCGGTCTCTTGCACCTGCCTTGGTCTACGCTGGAGCGACTTATTCACACCTTTAGGGATTGCTCCCAAAGCTCCTGCAGCAATCGGTATCATCTACACTTTTTGGATAGCCCACATGGTTGTTATCTCACGCTTTAGGTCTGGATATGTCTCAATGTTCTCACTTTCCTTTGAGTTAATCTGCAGTAGAATTTCCAAAAGTCCCAATACTTGTTTGGGGCGAAATTCCACCGGTTGACCCATAAGGGAAGTAAGAGATATTTCACCCAACTCCCGACACGGCATATGTCAATCATTTTTTCCCGCGTGAATGTAAAATGAATTCAAATCCATTCAGGCGAAACAAGTCGACGTAGCGACTTCACTGAAACTCTCTTCGCTCTCTTAGCACTTATGAGGAGTCAACTTGTCGCAATTCTAACTCTGCAGTCAACTGGTACGTCCACGTTTAATTGGTTTACAGACTCTATTACGTGGGCAGCGCACTATTTTTCAAATCCCACAATGCTTTGACCTTATCCGTCTCCAACACACTCTGGGGTTGATGTCTCCCAGTCGCTGTACGACGTCCTCTCAGGCCTTTTCGGTCAATGCATTTCGGTGACGTACCTGAGACGAACGTCTGGACCACGTGACCCTAAACGCTTAGGCCGCGCGGAATAATGAGGCCTAGGGACCAGGTAAGAGTTGATGTTCGCTCCTTTTTTCTGCTCTGTTAACCCTTGCGCACCAAACATGGCGGCATTATCGTGTCTGTTCTAATACTCTTGCTGCGCAGTTTGCTGCACTCACTAATCACACGTGACAACGTTGTCGACCAAGTATTGATTTCAAAGGAAGGAAGGAAGACTTTTAGATTAAAGGAAACTTCGCACTATAAAACAGTTTCAAAAAGAAAGGGAAACGTGTGAACGGTCGAAAACGATTCGAAAACGATGCGTGTATACACGAATCCCACTTTTGCTGGCTGGCAGTTCGCATCGAGACCCGTATTGGTAGTAGAAGACAATCGAAAGGTTTAGCCGAAGGAGATAAACACATAAGTCCCAAGAGTGGCCAACATCAATTTTCTCCTCACAATGTCAATACATTATTAAAAGAAAAGGTTATGAGATTTAAAAAAATTAATCAGGAAAAATGCTTTGATCTTTTCACACATTCTCTCAACTAATTCTTTAAGGAAATCTATGGAGATCAGTTTGGAGAATTTGGAAGTTGATACCAGAGCTTAAAGGGGTAAAGGAGCTATGTCACGAGGATACCGCCGTTTTTTGGTAAATCCTGTGCTAAAGTCATTACTTTAGTACCATTTTTTACCCAGACACAAAATTCTCCTATAGAGTTATGAAGAAGATATCAAATCAAATCTTATTAGGGAGAATTAACCATAATATTTTTTTGGTGATGCAGGCAAAACATTAAAACTTGAACAAGGTAGCCCAATTTTTTTCAAGTTTCAAACCACGTCCAACTTTGCAGTAGGCCACTTCCGAGTTCCAAAGACCCTCACCTTCAAAATGAGGCCAAGTGCACAACCTTTCTTATGAAAATGAGTTTTATGTGCATGAGAATGAAAAATCATTTACATCTCAAAGGCTGACCACTCAACCTCGTTTTGAAACAGAGGCCCGGGGGAACTCGCAAATGGCCTAATCCGTATCAACAGATGGCAGAAAACAGTTTCACTGTCTAAATATAGTCTTAAATAACAAAACTGGGCCGTTATTTTTGGAATACAATTGATACGAGGACACGCTTCAGTTTTTTTTTTAGCAAGTAGCGTTACATCGCCCCTTTAGGGTAATTCAAATGAGAGACAGTTATAGTCAGAGTCATTTGCATAAGCCTTTATTGCTGTATTTCCTAAATCTCTTAAGAAAGTCGTATGAAAGTAGCGCATATTTACATAAGTCATTTATACAAAAATCTGTACAACAAAATAGCTAAACAGAAGTAAGTCAATCAATCCGTCAATTAACATTTGAAAATTTCCAAAACACTGCTTTAATAATGTAAATTTAATGTTTTCCAAAGTTCTTAAAAACTTACGTGAATTCGTCAAGGAGCCGTCAACAATCAAATAAGTATAGTATTTCCAACACAAGGCGTAAGCAACAAGTTTTATGATTATAAGAAATAGAGAAAAAAAGTAGTTACGTCACGTTGCCATGGTAGCAAAATCCCTGAATCTCAACAAACCCTGATCACGCAAATATGGCGGGTAAAAACGAAAGGAAATAACACGTATCACTTTTCCGTGCATTGTTGCAATCTGGAACAAAACGGTAGCTCCCTCTTTTTTCCATCGTTCGACAATGCAAATGGCTGTCTCTGTCAAGAAAGGTTGTTGAGATCCACAAATGTTGCTACCATAGTAACATGGCGTCACACTTCTCCTCTCCATTGAACTGCGCGCCCGCAGACAATAATTCATTTACCACTCAATGGTATTCAATGAACTTGTGCTTACTGTAAGCTATTTACAAACGGCCGAAATCAATTTAAACGTGATTACCACTTCTTTACAATGTTACTTGATATATCGCCTTATTGTTCAAAGACTGCACTCAACAAGCCTCAACTGAGAATTATATTACACAAATTTTAACAACTGCGGATGCTATGCTCAACATAAATAGCTTTCAGAATCCTAAATCTAATACTATTCAATATTGGTTCTTGCAGAAATAGAGATAGAAGTTCTCCATTCTATATAAAACCAAAATAAATTGGTATTAAAACTAATATAGTTATTTCGGTCTCTGTCCATATTTTCACTAGTTCTTTTTTTATTGTTGAATTATTAAGGAAAATATTTCCTGGAAGCGGACAGCATTTACGAAGTGGTAGGTACCTAACTTACGTGTGTGTAAAGTAATTTTCGTCATAAATGATGGTGTGCATAAACAAAGCGAACAGGTAGACGGAACATCAAGTGGCCATTCTTGGTAAACAGTTTTTGGAGTACATTTTTAATTAATCTGATCATTCACGTTATTTTGCATGGATTGGATAAGAATGTCTGAATAAGATTGTTTGTATGCTGTAGAGTAACACGCTGTGTATCTTGTTATGCTAACTGACTCATTTTAAAAGCTATGAAACCTAAAACCTGATTCAGAATACTTGACGAAGCTTAAAACCAGTGCAATACCACTGTTACTTATCATTCCGGGCCCAGTTGTTCGAAGGCTGATTAGCGCTAACCCAGCAGGGTTAATTTTTTATCCGCCGGGTTTCGTTTTCTTTTGTTTCAAAGCATCTTCTCGGATAAATTTCTCTACTATTTTTAGAGCATTCAATCATCAAATTGTGCACAAAAAGAATTAAACTGAATTTGCCTTTTAAGCTTTCATGTTTAAATTCAAATTTGGGACTAACCCTGGGTTATCTTAGCCCAGCTTTCAACAACTCAGCCCAGGTCAATAACCCAAGAGTGGGCAGCCTATCAGAAGTTGGAACCAACAGGCCATTTTACAAAAATACGCGTTGAAATTGTTTGGAGGAAAACCAGACGTTTACGAGGGTGCTCCCTTTCGCCCAATGCAAGGGATTCCGGAAAACGGGAAATTTTTGCAAATAAAATCCGGAATACAGCTCGAAGAATCCGGCTCCCACAAACGTTTGGAATCCAGAATCCAAATTCCACTGACAAACAGTTCGGAATTCAATAGCTGGAATCTGGAATCCACTGCGTGGAATCCAGAATCCAAGACTGTCTTGGATTCCCTGATTGGCCGAAACAGCCGGTGCTTGTATCAAGCAGTCATACTTTGCGACAACGCGAAAAAACTCAACGGACAGAGTAACGTAGTTTAGAAATCATTAACACTACTTAAAGTGTGTCCCAGTTCTTAATGAGCCGGCAAGGCTCAAGGTATGGTAAGCATCGCAAGCAATTTTCTAAAGCTGGGGTATTCCTAATCATCACTGCTTTCACTGACTTTTCTCATTTCCTCGAGGACTGCTGCTTTCTCTTCCTCTATAGAGATTTCGGTGGACTCAGGCCGGAGATTTCTGCAAGCCATTTCATCGACTGAAAAGCGAAGATAGAGCGAAGAAGGTGTTTAGATGCTGAGTGAAAGAGCAACTTTGTTTGTCTGTAAATGTTAGCCTAAAATAACGCTTGAAGTGACCTTTAGCCTAGAATTTTCTAGTTATTCATTATATGATATCATCATTCTATGATACCATCATCCCAAGTAAAACCTCTTCCGCAGTGCTGTCACACGTTAAAACGCGAGGAGATTTGATCTTTTTATTGGTTTTTGACTATGGTCACAGCTGGGAGAGGAATAGCTAATTCTCAGAGATCGTTCCGCTACGCAACTTCACGTATCAAAGATAAATGGGCGTAGGAAAGAGAAATTTAAAAAACAGTTGCTGTTTCTAGAACAAAGAGAAAAATGTGGGATCACTTGGTTACTTACCTTTGAGGAAGTCTCTCATTTCCATGTTGCTAATGTTATTCAAGTTGCACTTTTCCGACATAGAACCCATCTCCTCTTCTTCATCTTCCTCTTCCTCATCTCCCTTCTCTAGCATCCTCAGCTTGTCGAAGCGCATTGCGGCGCCTGGATCGTTCCTATGGTTAAGTGAGTTTTTCTTGCTTGGGTTCACGATTCTGATTGGATTGCGGTCGAAGATTTCTTCGGCGCGCGTTCGCCGTTTTCGGCGGCGGCAGATTAACACAGCAAGGGCACATAACATCAATGCCCCCACCACCCCTGCGGCCAAACCCGCGATCAAGGCTCTGTTCCAGGGATCGTCTGAGGCGATGTCTTTACTGGATTCTGGGAAACAAACGACAACATAATGATTAGAGGTAACCATGTCATCTAGAAAATGGACTAGCTTTTTAGAAAAGATAGCTAGCAGCGTGACGTAGCCGCTTTAATAGCGTGATAGGTACCCCGTACATTCCAACTTAACAGCAACATAACTTAAGATTAGGGACTCACCATCCACTTTGATCTCATCCGTTGTGTTGACTAAAACCGTGACCACTTTGTTTGATGTAGTCAGAGGTGCAATGCTACTTTTCTCGAGAACGCCATCACCACGTGAGATCTCAACTGTGGATTTTAGAGGTAAAAACAACAAAATCCTTTGTCTGTTAAACTTGTTATCCTCCCAAGCCCAAACTGACAAACCAACAAATCACTTTAGCGAATAACCGACTAGCAGGTAACAATCGATCAGTGTTAAACTTGCGGGGCTGGTGGGGTAATACCTCACAGAAGTGACGGGGGTGATACCCCAAACTAAAACTCCCTAAGTCAGAAGATTGATCATCAAAAGCTCTACGCTATTGCTGACTCTATCTTACGAATTTACCCATCTCCTTCAACAGGATCCCATAGCCCCGGAGCGTTCATCTCGCAAAATGAAGGCCTGGGTCGAAGCTTATTACATGTTAGCTAATTATAGACTCGTCTACACAAATTTGAAAAGTAAGAACGCTAGGTTTTGGCGAGAGGATCAACCTTCTAGATTGGATTGGGCGGGTATTTGAAATTTTGCATGCATAGAAACCTAAATATAGAAACCTAGATATGACGCTGCGTCACTTAGTGATAGGTTTCCGCCTAGTCGGAGATACTCGAAACCAAAGAAAGCGTGTGCATAAGAAAGGAGTTGAACTCCCACAAAATTGGCTTGACACAGCAACAAGGCCGCCGTCTGACGGTTTTGGATCTGTCACGTCATATAAAAATCGCTCTTGGAAGGAAGAAAGAAATTACCTGACTCAAATTCCACCTCGCTGATAAGCACCCACCGGCCATAGTACTGAAAATCACACGTCACGTCCCTGCCAACATGTCCCTCGAGGTTGACCTCGATCCAAAACGCTCGGTTACACATTGACGTTCTCTTGGTGATGCTGGGCTCGTAAATAGTCTTCCAGGAAAAATATTCGCCGTCTTTGGAGAAGGAAAGTATCACTTTACTGAAAAGCATTTTCTCGTGCTGACCTGGTAGATTCAGGATGTGAAATCGCACGCTGGAAAAGCGACGAAGCGCGGAAAATTGGAACGTAATAGTAGGATTAGGAGTCAAGGAGTCCTTCCAACCGATCCATTTAATCCAGTCTGGATTTCCAGTATCGTTCCAGTCTGCCAAGTTACCTGTCACTCCGTCCGATAACTGGCCCAGTCCATTGTAAAGGACTCCTAGCTTCGTCCCGAAGGCGAGTCTATTGCCATCGTAACCTTTGTCCCGTAGGAACGACCAGCCGGGTTTGCCGGCCGCTCGGACATTTCCCTGGGATATCTTGTACGAAATCAAACCATCTGTGAACATAAACATGAACTACATGATTAACACCTAGCCCCACTTGTTCGAGAGGTGGATAACGCTATCCACCGGATAATAAATCACTATCCAGTAGATAGCGCAATTGGTTTCAATGGATATATTAGGGGCCTGATGACTTGCTTGGTTTAGTCTAATGATTTTCGTTTTCCGCTGCCGCCCCTACATTGCGGAACAGCCTTCTCGCACATATCCGTTATCACTGGGTGCTTTTCAGAGACATGTCATGACACATAAGATTAGCTTTTACATAGTTTTAAATATACTGTTTTTGATTGTCATTTTATTTATGTAATTTTTAATAGCATTTTACCTTTTATCGGGTTTATTTATCATTGATTCATTTTATAATATAGAAAATGCTCTTTTGATCATCTAGTCTTTATGTTAAAAGGCACTATAGCAAATTAATAAATTATTATTAGTTATTATTATTATGATTATGATGGAAGGGCTGCTTGGAATTGGTTCCGGCTCTACTTTGCTCCGGGACGTTTTTCTCCGGGTACTCCGGTTTCCCCTCTCCTTAAAAACCAACATTTTAAAACTCCAATTCGACCAGGAATGGTATACGAAGAACCACTATTTGGAGGTGCTACCCCAAAATCGTTGTTTATTTATTTATTTGTTATTTAAACATGTGAAAAGTAACGAGACAATGTTCCTACGTTTCGGCGACATCATGACGCCATTATCAAAGGAACAGAAATAAAAATGCGAGTTCAAGAGGAGTTATGCTCACCGTGTTTGGTCCAAGGACACCCGTGTACTTCCATCTTCAAACACAAATTTTCTCCGACTACATCAACAATCACCAGTCGAATATAGCGCGCAATGCGAGGTGTTAATAACTCCTGCTTGTGACTCTCAGAACTGTTGACTTTTATCAGCTGCAGGAAGAAAACACTTATTTTAATGTCGAGTGATTGTACGCCAGTCTGGTGGCTCACGATTAATTCTTTAACCAACACAAAGTCATTTGATGACCACTTGAGGCATTCACAGTTAGTTCTAACAGTGCAATCGCATGTAACCGAGAGACGAGAACTTCATTTACCACAGTTACGTTTCTGGGAACTGCCCACCTACCCCTCCCCTAAGCCAACATTAACACTTACTTCTCACTTAGGGCAAAATGTTGGCTTAGGGGAGGGGTAGGTGGGCAGGTTACTGTTAGGACTGGAATGTTGATATGAGCTTATACTCCAAACAGTATTAGTTAAATAATTATTTAGAAAAATAACACGATAAATGAAAGTGAAGCATAAAAACGTGAAAAAACGGCTGGTATCTCACCGTCACAGACACGTCATTTTTATGGTAACGCCTCCACGTCTTGTCGTCCTCACGCTTGTAGGACAGGAAGTACTGTGACGCGTACATAAAGCTGTAGTTTCCAGTTGATTGGCTCTTAATCAAGACTCCAGCTGTGGATAAGGCCGTAATACGCATGTTCTGACCTAAGTCAAGCTGTGGAAGTAAAAAAGGATGGCTCGGGGTCAAGTAGTGAATACAGTGCTTATTCCAGAGGTATCGCCGAGAAAACAAACGATTAGGATCGATTTCCGCTGCTCTCTAGGTCCTCCCTGAGAGGAGACGGCCGTCTGTTCGGAGGGGGGCGGGGTGGGTGGGGAGGAGCGCAGGCTCATTTCACGAACAGCGGCTGGTAATCGAGCCTAACGGAGAATAGAATTTTAACTGATTACCACAACTGATGTACCTGGGTCCGTTAGACCAAAGTTTTCCATTCAGCTTGGCCCCAATTTTTCCGGACATTTCGGTACTGGGCAACGGAATGGTGAAATGGGCGAGCAAATTTTGGACAGGCTAGATCAATACAAAACAAACGTAAGATGAATCGAAAGATTCTGACCTCTATAAACGGTCTTTTTTTCTTCTCTTTACTAAAGGGAGAACACCAGCCGACAGTTTCAACTGTGTTGCTCAGCCGAGCCAGGTGAGGACCGAACTTGATCGTGTCCAATGTCGACGACGCCGTCCATCTGTTATCAGGGACTGACGCAGCAAGGGGAGAGTCGCATGCTGGTGAAATAAAGTTCCTGTTAGCATGATTTATGACACATGAGCGTTGCTGATTAACTCCAATTATGTAGGTATGTTTATTTAACCCTTTAAGCCCTAAGAGTGATCAGCATCAAATTTCTCCTTGTAATATTAATGCTTTGCAAAACAGAGTGGTCATGAGAATTACAGACATGATCACACAAGATGAATTTGCTTGATATTTTATGAACTTCTCCCAACTACTGTAGGAAATGAAAAGAGCAAAAATTGAGAATTCAAATTTTGTTCTTAGGGTTTTAAGGGTTAACGGTTATAAGTCGTACGCCGGTTCGTGAAGCCGCTTGGACTCACAAGGTGAAATACACGTTGAGTACAGGCAAGAAATGAACTCGGGTAAGAGAGTTGGGCACATTGAGGGAAGGAAAGAGAAACTCGTGCAATGACAAATCAAGTGAGAAGCATCTAATTTTGGACAAAGCGCTTTCCAAATTCATACCAGCTACTTCCCCAGCCCCACCCCTCCAATTAGCACCCCTCCACACAGGGGCTGGATAGGGCCCTTGATACGTAAGGAGGTAATTGTTTTTACGTTCACTATGGTGCTGATTTCTTGTAATTTGTTTTCGCCTTAGTTACGTGTAACCAAACGAAATGGAATACCTGACTGATCGTCGTAGCCACTCGCCAGAATACTTGAAAAACTCATTAACAGCAAAACGAGCTTGACAAGCTCTCTACCTCTGCTCGCAACTGTCATCGCGTTCCTTAAAAAAAGACAGAAATGTACATCAGTCTCAAGTTAACTTGCGTCAAAATAAAAGAACGCCTTGGGAATAGACCTCTTTGGCCTGTATGTTTTGTTTTCCGTATGTAGTTCATGTGGTAATATTCAAGAAAGACAAAACCAGGGGACCCAGGATATTCGGGAAAGAAACGGACGTTTACCAATCCAAATTAAAAATTGTGCCTGACTTTTTCTGCTTCTTTAAAAATAAGACACACCTGTTGTGAAAAAGATATCCAACAGAGGTGAACTGGTCTTTATGTGCACGATAAATTGTACTATTTTTACCCCGTAAGTGTTAAAAAAACTTGCTCAAGTTCTTGGAATTTAGGTGTTTCAAATTGCAGTGAGGCAGGTTTAAAAAAACTACATACCCACAGCGACAATTGAAAAAACAAAACTAAACTTAAAAACCTTTCTTTGCTTGAACGATAAAGTCTATGAAAGCTTATGAAGAAGGGAGCTGATTCTTCCCAATATTTAAAGTCCCGTCAGAAAGGAAACCAGAGAGATACCTAAGTTATAATGTACCTCTACGAAATAAAAACCACTTACTAGCAGACGACAAAGTCAGAACCTTTCGCTTCTTTTGCTTTGATAAAGTGAACTCATTAACAAACGTGGATACAATTTATAACGACAAAAACCACGAGCGACCTCGTGTCGTGATTTAATCTGTACTATTCGATTACAAGTGTGAAAAAAGTCGTTAGACTTGCATGATTACAGTACACCACAATCGCTTACCCGGGCTTTCCCGGGCGCTCTTGCCTTACGTAACTGATCTTAAACGAACCTCTTTTTAAATTCAGATGTCTGCCTGGCTGTGGAATCCGAAGAAAGCAGATTTTAAAATTCGAAATGCTACCTCTCTCTTTCTTTTGTTTTCTTTTTGTTTTTTTTGTTTTTTTTTTCATTTTCTATGGGTAATTGCTACACCATATGGGTGAAAATATTTTCACTTCATTGAAGTAACATTATATGTTACAATAAGCTTGAAAATGACATCGTTCGGTAGGTGATGTACTATGGAGAAAAAAAGTGAAGTTCAAAAGCACACTTGCCGAAAGCTGTTGTTTCCTGTGCAAAAAACCACACCCCGAAGTTACTGGCACTTGTTTCAAAAGTAATATGCACACATAAACTCACATTGGACATGGTTTCGTAGCTACGGACCAATATACGTCATAATACGACTTCACAAAACACGTACGTTCGTGGTAGACACGTTAGCGTTGTACAAAAATTCCTTTTTTGACATCTAGCTATGTGGTTATGTAACCTGAGGAAAAGCGGTGCGTGAAGTCATTTGCTTAAACTACATGCCGGGTAAACAAACATGTAATCATGAAAGTATATAATAAGCTGTAATGATTTGCTATAGTACCACAAAAATGTTACAGTTATGTAATCATAAGGCGTTTGCCGAGACCAAGGTTAATGGTCACTTTTTGTGCGTTAATAGTTGACGGTCATTGCATGCATTTTGCCTTAGGAACTGATGGGTTCATCAGAATATCTCGGTAATAATGGGAGACCTTTAGATTCATGGACGAGAACGACCACAAGGTCGAGATTTCACTTAGGGCTTTTTGGCGTCTACTCAAAAAAGAGACACCCCAGAGAGCTTCATTGTCATTTTTTTTAACAGAAACGTTAGCACAGTTATTTTTGTTGAAGGAGGTTAAGCCCTTTCCCAGAAGCAAAATGATAAAAGTTCTAATATTTGATAACTTGCTTCCGCCACCACGACATTCTCGCAAATACCGTAGCAGGATGACGACGCCTTTTTCGCCAAAATGACCTTGGCTCACGCGCGCTCGTTTGCATTGAGAAAAAGTCGTCTTCGTCACTTATCAAAGAGGCTAGTGCGCGAGAGGTAAATGATTTGCACATCAAAGTTATTACATAAAAAAAAACATCAAAGATGCGCGCTAAAGATACCTTTGCACAAGTCTACGCCATAGGTTCTTCTTTTTTTGACGAAAACCAATATTAATTCATGACATTGAAGACAAACAAACTTTTAAGGGGGAGGGCAATCTTGACCGGGCTTGGTTACTCAAGAGCGTATACTCAAAAACGCCAAATACTAATACGGATACTGAGGGGGCCGTAGAAAGTGTCCTTATTGACGGGGTGTCCGTATTAAGCGGGTCATGTTACTAAGTCCAAAAAACACCTAAAACTAAGGGTGGATTCATTTCATATTCGCGCATAGCTGTCGCATTTGCCCACCGAAATTTTTCATTGTTTTTAGGCTTAAAAACAATGAAAAATTCCAGCGGGCAGATCCGACGGCTATGCGCGTATGTTGCAAATGAATTCTCCTTAAAACTCTAACGAAATAAAAGAGGACATATCCATCGTCAAATTAAACATCTCTAATTTTCACAAAGCTGCAATTCGGCGGACTACATCCACGAAGGGCTCAAAAATCGCTCATCTCAAAATCACTTAATAAAAACCGTACGTTCTCTGCATAACTCCTTTGATGGCAAACTAGTTTGAAATTGACGTCTCAAAATCATCCTATCCGGTGTACTGTAGCGCTGGGAACATCGACAAACTGTCAACTGAAGATCTTTTTCCTTCAGAAAGGAAAGGTCTATTACAGCACAGAGTACATAATGAAGTGTCCGCATTAGCGAGGTTGACCTTCTTTGAGAATCTGTTGGTTGAACAAGAAACAAGTGTCCGTTGTCTATATTAACGGGTGTGCTTTGTTAGGAATCTTGCGATTGCTGCCAACCCATGGTTTTCCCGATAATTTCAACTACTCTGGAATCTTAGAACATTAGAACATGGCGTCTTTTTGGACCGGAAGCCTTTCAAAGAATGTCAAGACTGGCGATGAGTGGTCTACAAGAGTGGTAGCAACAACGTTTTTGAACAAATTATAATTCCATGATATTTTTTGTCTTGAACAGGGAAGTGAAATGATCGATCTTTGTCTTAAACCTCTACCCCCAAACTTCCCTTTGGTGCCCCCGCCCCGCGAAGTAAAGTGCTGCCATTAGAAGCCATTAGAGCCATTTTTGCATAGTAAAATGTCTCCAATGTTGATTTGTGAATCAGTTGAAAGAGCGCTGCTTACAAAATGTCAGATTGTCTCAGTATTAAGTTTCTCTCTGACGACGTGGTGGCGTTTATGTCTAGCCAGAAAAAGGGCGGGACAAATGGAAAATTTCACTGCATTATTGTCGGTTTCAGTTTTTTAGTTTCGGATTATAAATCACTATACATTGGCGCCGACGTTTGTTTTCACAAAGATGATCTTTGCAAATAATCTGCATTGTTATTTAAGAAATGACTGTCTTGTTCCAGCCAATTACAAGTGAACAACAAGTATCTGTCAACTGAGAGGTTTTGCTTGAATGGGTATTACGTCAGAGGATTTCTTCACCAAACCATTTAAAGTAAGTTTGAAAAATGAAAAAAGAGAGAGATTTTACAATGTAGCACCTTGTTTTGGAAGTCTACAGTGATGAACAGTTGAACGTATTAACTACGCAACTACGCAACTTCACAATGCGCCAAAAACAGAGTTCTCAGGGCGCCTTTTTTTTTTCGGTCAGAAAAGGTTCAACAGTTGACCACAATTGGATTACCTTCTAATTACAACTAAAATGAGTAAAACGATGAAAACAGTCATCCTTTTATGATTAATATCCTTAGTTAGCTTGACTTTTTTTACACGGAAAGGGCGTTTAAGAGCGCGGAGAGACATTAGGCATTGAAGAAAGCTAAAAGCTTTCCCGCGCAAAATATAAGAAAAACAACAAGCTCACTAGTTGGCTAGAAAACGACACGTGTTCACTTTTAAAAGGTAGTAGCCCTTCCTTACAACAAAACCCCTGAAAGCTAAAATATACCACGGTAGTCTAAAAGTAGATTACTTACAGTCCGTCTTTTCTCTTAAAATCCGTCTAGTTCTTATCTCAGCCACCGCGATTGCAAACCACGACGTTAAGTTACAATAAGGGATTTGGACGAGGCCGCGAACCGCTCGCGTGCTTGGGTTTCGCGTGCAGTAACTTTGCAAAGAAAAATAAAGAGACTGTTCCCGGTCTAGTCTAAAAGACGCTCGGTAAGGCTTTAACTACCATACATTTTTCATTTAGGTAAGTTATGCAGGATTCTACCTGAATAGACTGTTTACAGTCCCCTACTTTTCCGTAAGATCGTCGAGATCGAGCCCTGTGCGTTGCGGGAAGCCATCTTGGATGAGCGTCAAAACTACTTAGGGGGTGGGAGGCGGAACCGCTCGCCCTCAACGATCTTACGAAAAAATAGGAGACTGTGAACAGTCTACTGCCTGAAAAGTAGTACTTCAAAACAAAGTTAATAAACAAAGATAAAGGTTAAAGATAAACTAACTTCCTTTCATCATCGAGGCACATTCGGCGTATTGACAAGCTCCTAAATTCTGCATAGAAAACCATGTCCCGATAAACGTTTCAGAGTTCACACTTTTCCAGGTAAGTTCATACAAGTTTGGCACTGTCTAGGTTACAAATAATGCAAATTGCTTTAGCCTGTGTTTGTTTATTTACACTCATTTGTAAATCCTTTTGAAAATAAATATTTCCTATGCCATTAGCTTAGTAGCACTAATATGATTACTTCTTAAGACCTTGGCGTGAAATGATCAATCTAGAGATTAAGGATTCTTGAGATTCCGCTGACTAAAAAATGCATATAGAAAGAGGAATCATTTGAAACGATTGTTTTAAAAAGAAAAAGAGGGCCGTTGTTTCAATATAATTTAAAAATAAAGCGTGAGTTATCATACACAATTCTTCGTTACGAATGTAAACTACGGGAGAGATATCGACCGGTGACGACCTGTTTTGTCGTAATTTAATACTTAAAGGACCTGACCCCCATACTTATTTATAGACTAAGAAGGAAGTCTCTGGCTCTATACAACATAATTACGCAACAGAGGGCCGGCATAGTCGTAGTATACATGTAGACTTCTGAATATATGCTATTCTTACTTGTAATCAAAAGCTTACTGAGGGGTGTCGTTCACCACACCTATTTGTCGATAGATCCCCTTAAAGAAACTGCCAACACCAGATACTCTGTGCAGTTTTGTGTTATCTCCCGAAAGGGCGCGTGCACCTACACGTGTTTTATAAAAGGTAAAGTTTTGAAGTCGTTTGCTATGAGGCCGGGGGAAAGGGAAGGTATTCTTTAACCTGAGATGTTTGGTTCGTGTGCTGCCTCTTAGTCCTCTTGCTTTTCCGTCGAATTCTAATCCCGCCCGGCTAATGCGTTTCCAAAAGAAAATGAGACACTTTTTCATGTCTACTTCAGGCCAAAAATACGCCACGATTGGACCTGCTCTTAGACTTGCCACAAGTCGACCGCGGAAAAGCGCGCCGAAGGCGCGTCGAACGCTCGCCAAGCGAGCGAGAGGGAGCGACGAAGTCGCGAGACGACTGTTTCCCTTAACCGGCAAAAACTGGAAACGGACTTTGAGACACTCTAACCTGCTCCCAGAAAAATCCCTTTCCTTTTTTCCAGTTGATCCATACTTCTAACAGTTTTAAGGAAGCAATAAATTACAGGTTATTCTGAAAGGGCTACCTCTCCCTGAACATGACGTGCTGAATAATATTTTTGATCACCTCTACTAGTGCTTCGTCTTATACGTTTACACTTCTCAGTTTTTCGTTCAGACATGTAGAAAACCCATAGACAGCTTCACTAGTCTTCCTGTACTCTGCTCGTGGTAACAATTTTTTTGATCGGGATTTGGGTGGGCTCATCTTTACATCTCTCCACTTATCCTCAGCAGTTTTTGTGCCAAAACAAAAACACTCAATTATACCCACTTTGCTCAAAATTTTCAAATCCGCTCATTACAAATTTTCAAATCCGTAATCTCTAATATATATTCTTGGTGGCTAGAGCAAACCTTTCCTTAAGTTAACAAAGAGTTGATTTCAATTCTCTTGAAGGCATGCATTAATACTCATCTCGTTTCCCCATGCCCCACCTGAAAATCTGTTCTCGTAACATTGAGTTGTGTATTCTATGGCAGCTTTTTGTCACTTAAAACTCAGCCTTGACTACATGTCATATAAACAACACTGGAAGGTTTCCAACTGCGCTTAACCATGAACGAAACTAATTCGAAGATTTCC